AGCCCAGCACTGGCCATTGTGGCCATCTGGGAAGTGAACCAGTGGATGAAAGACAGCTCTCTCTCTCACTGCCTCTGCCTCTCCACTTTTCAAAGAAGCTAAAAAAGAAAAAAAAAAAAAAAAAAAAAGCAACAGAAAGGGTAAATATGTGGGTAATTCTAAATAAATAATGACTTACATATAATAGCAATAATATCTTGTGGGATTTAAATAAGATTAAAACACATAAAAACACTAAAGTTAGGGAACATATTCCATTTTGCTAAAGTGTTCTGATGTCAAGCATTGTCTACAAAATGTAAAAAGCATACTTCATATGATACATCAACAAAATATTTAAGAGTAGATTCTCTAGAACTAAGAATCCATACCATGATCTTTAGGATAACTTTTAAAGAAATAATTAAAGATGTATAATTAAGGTACAGGAAATAGAAAAAAATTCAAAAGAAGGCTAAAATGAACAGGAATAGATAAAATGAGCAAACACAGACAGAAAGAAAGGACAATAAAGGGGTAATACAAAAAGGGATGAGACTGCCACAGCAGCTGGGTCATTGCTTGGGATACCTGCATTCCACACTGCAGTGCCTGCTGGAGTCCCAGTTCCTTTGCTTCCCATCCAGCTTCCTGCTAATGCACACCCTGAGGCGTAGCAGGTGTTGGCTCAAATACCCACATGGGAGACCTGGATGTTCTGGACTCCTGGCTTGGGCCTGGCCCAGTCCCAGTTACGTGAGCATTTGAGGACTGAACCAGTGGACAGAAGATCTCTGTCTCTGCCTTCAAATAATGTGAAAATAAATAAATTTTATGAGATTACACAAATAGATAACAAATATTAAGACTGGACTTATGAGCCGACAATAACACCAATAAGATTACATTAAAATATAGTTTTTCTGTTTAAAAGACAATCATTTTCAAATTGGATTTAAAAATACATGCTCTACTGAATAATTGTAAAGCTGTTACTCTAGATGTAGCCACCATGAAGGTAAATATATTTAAAATCAACTTCCCCCCAAAATAGCATGTGTGATATTAATTTGTTTTACTCTTTACATTTACCATCTAACCTTGGATCCCTAAGTAACATATTTTGTGTTGCTATTTTTGAGCTTCATTTAAATGAAATAATTTTTTTTTTAAATCTGTTTTACAGTAATGCTTTTATGGGAGTAACAGACTACTGTATGTGAATATGGTTCCTTCATTAATGTATGGAATCCGCTGTATGGATTTACTGCAATTTTTCTTTCAACTGTGGATGGACATATTTTCTATATCATAATCTTTAGGACAGCTGGTTTCTGTTATGGAAAAAGCTGCTAATAAACTTTCCTTTCCATATATACTATTGTACATGTGTAAAAAGATAAAACTGCTATATGGAAGGATATTTAGATCTTCATTATTTCTAGATAATGTCCACTATTCCCTACAACACTATACTAATTTACTCACCCAAAAGCAAAATATTAAATAAAAACAATTCATTCTTTTTACTTCACAACCTCATTAACACCTGGTATTGTTAAATTTTCAAATGTCTTATTTTGTTATCCTAACTATTTTCTCACCGTGGTTTTAGTTTGCATTTTACTTATTTTAAAGAAGATAAACACCTTCTCTTGTTTATTGGCCATTTGGAATTCCTCTTTTGTGAATGTGCTCCTACCAGCCTTTTGCCCATTTCTCTTTTGTATTATCTGGCTTTTACTCAATGCTTTGTTGAAATTCTTAATATAAAACATATATATGTATTATACATATATATATACACCCACACACATATTCTGAGTACAAGTCCTCCACAGGTTATATGTGCTCTGAATATCTTCTCACACATGATGGCTTGTCTTTTCACTATCTTTATAGTGCTTTTTAAGAAAAGAAATTTCTAGCTGTAATGCAGCAAAGTTTTTTCTTTTAGGGCATTTGTGTCTTCAGTAATATTTCCTGGGGGCCGGGTGTTTGGTGCAGTGGTTAAGCAGCTGTTTGGGACACCTATGTCCCCTTATCAGAATACCTGGGTTCAAGTTTTGTCTGTACTTCCAATTCTAGCTTCCTGCAAACGTGCACCCTGGGAGGCAGCTCAAGTAGTTGGGTCTGTGCCACACATGTGGGAAACCTGGACCGTGCTCCTGGCTTTGGCCTGATCTAGCCCCAGCTTTTGTGAGCAGTTAGGGAGTGAACCTGCACATGGAAGCTCTGCTTCTATGCCTTTCAAATAAATATATATTTTTTTTAAAAAAGAGAACTCTTTCCTTATCCAAGTTCATGAAGACATTCTAATATTCTAGGAGCTTTATAGTTTTCCTTTAGATAGTTCCTCAATCCACAGATTAATATTTTTGTATGGCCAGATAGAGAGGGTCCAATTTCATATCTTCCCCAACATGAATAGCAAATTGAGACAATCTTTTACTGAAAATCAATTATTTCCCCAAAGATCTGCCATAGTCCCCATCATATATTACATGTGCATATATGCATGAGATCCTAGACTCTATTACACCAATCTACTTGTCTAACACCTGCCAACATTATGCTGCTTTAATTATTATAGCTTTGTGATGTCCTGATCTGTCATCTGATGGCAAATTCCTTGAACTGCACGCTGTTGCTCTACTTCACAAGTATGCTGGCATCTTGACTCGGTGCATTCACAAATGCATTTTCAAATCCAGACAGCTTATTTATTACATAAAATTATAAACTAGAATACTGACTGAAATTCTACTCTATAAAACTGAAGTGGAAACATTTTATAATACTGCTTTGTCCAAAAAGTAAATGTCTCCCTTTAATTCTCCTTTATTATTTATCAATAACATTTTATAATCTCCTTTAGTTATCACATATCTCATTAAATGTATTCTAGGTATTTACATGTTTTGATGTTATAATGATATTGTAATTTTTAAAAAATTATTTTACTTGTTTATATATAGTATATAGGAGGTATACAATTGATTTCTTATATCTGAGTTCAACAATCTTGTTATTTTTTATTAATTCTATTAATTTATCTATAGTTCCTTTGGATTTCCTATATACCACTTCAAACATCAATGCTCTTTCTTTACTAATTCTTTGCATTTTTCTTTAATTTCCAAGTTCTTGCATTCTTGAATTAGCTAGTACATCCAACATGTTATATAACGTGGTGACAGCAAGCATCTTTCGGCTGTTTTGAATCTCAAAGGGAACAGCTCTCATGTTCTACCATCAGATTAGCTTTACAATATTTATAGATAGTTAATCAGATTAAGGAAGTTGCCTCCTTTCCAAGTTTGCCAAGAATCTGTTTTAATCATAAGTTGGTATTTTACCAAATCTTGCACCTGTTGTGAGTTGATACTAATTTTTCTCCTGGAAAAATTACATCAATTGATTTTTGTCGTTAAACCAGTGTTGAAGCACTCCTAAAACCAACTCAACTTTCACAGATTGTTGGGCTTGGGTTACTAGTATCTTGTTTAGAATATCTGCCTCTATTTCATGGGTTAAGTGGTCTGTATTTTCCATTTCTGCAAAATTTTTCAATTGACTTTAGTATCAGGGTAAATGAACCAAAGAATGTTCCTTCTTTTTCTATTCTTAGGAAATATTTTGTTTAGAGCTAGTATTATTTCTTCCTTAAATGTTTTGTAAAACTCACCATCAAAGCCATCAGGGCCAAGTTACACCATTTGTTACACCCATTCGCACACTCACCATGCGCTGAGAGCACTCCCTGAAACAGTTGCAAAAATGGCACGTTCTTCTTTCAGTACAGAAAATAAAGTGGATTTGTTTATACTGTAAATGCAAGCCTCTATTAAATTGGACATGTTTGTCCATAAGGTTGCTATTTTAATGGTTTCTTTAACATTTCACTTCTGTCATAACTGCTTTTCTTTTCTGTCACTCTGTGAGTTCTAGTACATGCATCAACAAGGGGTAACAACAAAGACTTACTGAAATGTGACTGTTACCTTCAACAACCAAATGCCTTCTTTTAAGCAGCTTCTTGGCTCAAAGCTAAAGTACAGGCCTCAATATCATGGAATTATTAGGGTATCTCCTAAAGAGGCAAAATTGCATGCTAACCCTCCAAATACCAAGAATTTACTGTAAATGGGGGTAAGTAATGCTTCACCTTTCTTTTATAGCATCCTTGTGTATGAAATAGTTATTTGGAGGAAAGGTGTTGCTCTTCAAACAGCAGGATCATTTATCATTTAATCTCTACTTTTTGGTTATGTATTTGCATCATTTTAAAATCCAAGTTATAATTTAATATATAAAAGTAAAACTCTATATAGAGCATTTCAAGGAATGAATGTGAAGGATAAATATTATAAAGCTCTAAAACTGTTAATAATAACCAGTGATGAGAAAAAAATTCATTAATATTGTTCCTCCATACACCCAGAAAACAATCGAGGCCAGAATCACCAATCATGTTTCTGTGTTAAAATAAACTTACTCTTCCTTACCAGCCCCAACTTTAAGACTAAATTACAGACTGAGTCATAAAGCAGTTGAGACATATGGACAAACTGATATGTTCACCTAAATTCGAAGTTACTATAATACTACTTTCAACAGGCAAGGAACTAACTTTAGGTATTTTTTGCCCCTAGTCTTTCCTACTCTTCTGTGTAATTTCTTTAAAACTACTATTTTATAGGACCTTGATTGTTTTTTTTCCTGAGTAGAATCAGAAACCTCTGGAGTGATCCACTGGGTCACTCCAATCACTATGACAATGATGGGAAACATCACAATAAAAAACTTTATCACATAACCAATTCAAAATGTAGTACTGTTGAAACAACAGCGATAAAAGCTTTGGGGAACCAATTCTATTTCTTCCTAAATGGATTTAAAAAAAAAAGTTCATCTGAATGTGAAGCTTTTAATTGATGGATGCTGAATTAAGAAATGGGTATATATTTACAAGCACATACTTAGATAAATAAGTTTATGCATTTTGCAGAAATGCTTACCTATCAGAAACGAACTCAACATGATCTGGTGACAGATTTATCTTTTCACTTGCTTCAGAGTTCACAGAAGTCATTCTTTCACAAAGACTTTTAACTGACTCGCAATTCATACCCAAATTCATGGTCTCTAAATTTGTAACCTGTTAAATGGGCAAAAAGTAAAAATGTTAAATGAGGAAAAAATGGTTGAGAGGAGGGTAAAATTAATGATAAAAATTTTACTTGGAAAATATTCTCAAAATATTTCTACATACAGTGAAACAAGACAGTAAATTGTACAGATTTCAATGACTGATGACCGTAAGTGATCTCTCTTTCAAAAGGAATTTTAAAAATTCCAAAGAAATAAAAATGATGATACATATAATTTCCTAGTTTGGATAGAAAGAAGAAAAAACAAACATCTAGGTACTTAGACATTTCATTTTTATTAGACTAAGTTTTGAGAGGTAATAAACCCTCAGACTTTAACAAGAAAATTTTTTACTTTTTGTTATAATTCTCATAATAAATAGAAACCAGATTGCCAAATAACTCTCCCAGTTGGTGTGTCTGTTTAAAACTCAGAGTGAAACATTTAGTTGACACTTTGGTTGAGAACTTGCAGCATTTAAAATATCTGTATATTAACCAGTCTAAAAGGACAAATGGATTGCCCAATTGATGGACTTTTCTAAGGGACAACATGAATAAAAATGTAGACATAAAAAGAATTCTGAAATATTAAGAAGATTTTATATGTAGAAACAGCTTTAAATAATATTGGAAAGCAACAGCAAAAATATTTGATATCCTTTCAGTTCCAGGACAAAGTGGCAGAGACCCCCTCTTCTCTGCTTTTCCCAATCACTGCCACATTTACAACCTTGGAAATAATTCAACCAATAGCCATGAAACAACCGTGAAAAGTGTGAGGGACAAAGACAGTCTGGCTGGGAATCTTACAAGGGAAGATCAACACCACATTGAGTGTACAGAGTGTTCTTTTTTCTTACATCCTGTACCAGGTGCCAAGGAAGCCAAGGACCTATCTCTCACCCCAAACCTACAGTAGTAGTGGCTAATCCACTTCACCAAAGTAGTGTCAGCTCAGTCCCCACTTGATATCTGGGGCAGCAACAGGCTAATCGGCTGTAGCAGAGTGTTCACAGAGACCAACTAGGAACCAATCTCCAGAACTCCACACCAACAATAGCAGTGGTCCAATCCACTGCAACAGCAGTATGGCCATTACCATGCGGGTCAGTGGTAGGGCATGTTCCACACCTGGGACAGCAGTAGGCCCAATCCACTGCAGTGGCAGTTTCCTTGACTCATACCCCACAACACTGGGGATGGAGGTGACATCTGCAAGGACTAAATGGGAGACCTAGTACAGCCAGAAGAGTGACACTAATTAAGATAGCACTGCAAGAACTTCGAAAAGTTCCAAACTGTCTTTAGAACTACAGTTCACAAGAGGAAACCAGGGCCTAAGTGCTGTATCTAAAACTAGCCTGAGAGAGGTATATGCCCAATCTCTTCAAAGCACCTCTGTATGGCTGAATACTGTGACCATTTGATCCTTCCAAGGCACAAGCAAGAGGTTGGTCAGCTGCACCCTTGGCTTTGTCTTCAGAGCATGCTTTTCTGACAATGAGCCTTCTAATTTTAGAATCTTTTGCAATCTGGATAGGCTGAGAATTTCCCAGATCAAGCCCTGACTCCTTTTTGCTCAACAGTTTCTCCTTCAACCTTTTTCTTTCCCCTCACATTTTACTTTCAGAAACAAGAAGAAAGTATTCAAATCTTCCCTCAACACCTTGCTCAGAATCAAGTTCACTGCTTCCAAGCTCTGTTTCCTACATAACTGAAGGGCTCCATTCAGCTAAGTTTCCTGGTACTATATAAGAGGAATCCCCTTTCCTCCATACTCAGTAATGGTCTCATTTCTTTTTAAGTCCTCCTCAACAGTGCTTTTAATGTCCATATTTCTACCAATAGTCTGTTTATGAAGATTTAAGTATTCTCTAAGATTACGTAAGTTTTCTCTACTGTGCTCCTAATTTCCTTCCAAGCCCTCACAAGCAGTCTTTATCATCCACATTTCTAACAGACTTTCTTCAAGGCAATATAAGCTCTTTAAACATCATGTTCTGCAAAATTCTTCCAGCCTCTACCCATTACGCAATTCCAAAAGCCATTTCCACAGGAACATCCTATACTTCCTGGCACCAAATTCTGTATTAAATTTCTTGAACTACTTTAACAAATTATTATAAAATGAAGAGCTCAAAACAACAAGAGTTTATTCTAACATGGTTGTGGCAGCTAGAGTTGGAAATCGGTCTCACTGAGCGGAAATCCAAAGTGCGGACACTCCTTCTGGAGGCTTTCTTCTAGCTGTACAAGGCTGCCGGTGTTCCTTGACCTCTTCCTCATCTCCAGTGCGTGACATTCTAAGCTCTGCCTCCACTGTCCCATCTCGGCCTTTGACCTTTTTCTTCTTTGTAAGGACCCTTGTGATTACTCTAGGATAATTCTGGATAATCCCCCAAATGAAAGCATTTAATAATTTAATCACACCTCCAGAGCCCCTTTTATCATATAAAGTACATATCCACAGATTCTGGAGGTTACCTCATTGGTATCTTGTGGAAGCCATTATTCACTCAACCACAACTACAGAAGGTCTAAACAATACTATCAAACTTGGTATACTTAATGCAAAAGTAACATTTACACAACATTGTACTCAGAGCCAGCATTGAGCAATAGCAAGTTAACCTGCTGCCTGAGATCCCTGAATCCCACATGAACTAGAGTCCTGGCTGCTCCTCTTCCAATCTAGCTCCCTGCTAATATGTCTGGGAAAGCAGTGGTAGATGTCCCAAGTCCCTGGACCTTTGCCATCCGAGTGGGAGACCAGATGGAGTTCCAGGCTTCTGGCTTCAACTTGGCCCAGTCCTGGCCACTGCCCCATTTGGGGAGTAAACCAGCAGATGCAAGATGGATGGATCTCTATAAAGCTGCCTTTAAAATAAATAAATCTTAAAAAAAGAACATGTACCCAACATTCTGTACGTGAAATGTCCAAAGTAAATTTATATGCTGGCCTATAAAATAAATGTCAACAACTCTTAAAGTGCTACACAGGATATTCTACAATAAAATGAATTATAAATGAATAGAAATAACATACATACAAAAGGAGTCAGCACAGTGGCACAGTAAGGCCCTGGCCTGCAGCACCGGCATCCCATATGGGCGTCAGTTTGAGTCCTGGTTGTTCCACTTCCAATCTAGCTCCCTGCTAATTTGCCCGGGAAAGCAGTGGAGGATAGCCCAAGTCCTCCGGCCCCTGCACCCACTTGGGAGACCCAGAAGAAGCTCCTGGCTCCTCCCTTTGGATCAGCTCAGCTCTGGCCATTCCGGCCATTTGGGGAGTGAACCAGTGGAAGGAAGAAGTCTTGACCTCTCTCTGTCTTTCAAATAAACAGAATAAATCTTTTTTAAAAAAATATACACAGAAAAGTTCCAAACACTTGGAAATTAAACATACAAACTTCCAAACAACCCACTCCACAAGGGAAACTAGAAATTATTTTGAGCCTGATGGAAAACAAAAATAATATCGAAGACTATACTAAAATCTCTGCACTATGAAATGCATAACCTAAGCATAACAGAAAGCAAATGCTTACAAGGTGCTTAGAAAAATTGGTACGTAGATAGAAATTTAGCTTTAAATGTTTTCTAGTAGAAGAAAAGGTTAAAAACTGCTTTTACTTTGGAAGAAGCTAGAAACAAAAGAATAAACTGTATCCAAAGAATTTAAAAGAGTTAGAAATCAATGTAAAGGAGATAGAGAACAGCTTTAAAAACATCAAGACTGATCAAGGAAAAAAAGAAACATAGATTCACCACACCAGAAATGAAGTAGACTATATCACAACAGTTCTACAGCCATTAAAAGGAAAATGGAGCTTCAGAAATAACTGTATGTCAACAAATTATACAATTTAGATGAAACAGACTGTGCAAAGTAAACTTACAAAACTGAGACAAAATGAAAAAGAATTAAAATTTTAGGCAGAAATCTTAAAGCTGCTCACCTCGCGAGTTTTCAGAGGTGGGTTCTCAAACCTTTGAGAAATAATAAAAATCTTAGACAAACTCTAAGAAAACAGAGGAAGTGTTTCCCAATTCATTTATTGGGGCTAACATGAATCTGAAGTCAAATCCTAATAAAGACATTATAAGAAAAAAATTCACCAAATATGCACAGGAAATATTTAAATTTTACAAAAAAGTCTACTTGTAACACATACTATATCACTGCAATGTATATGTAATGTTTTAAAAGTACATATTTCCAGAGAAAGAGGAACACTTATACACTGTTGGTGGGAATGTAAGTTAATGTGGCCACTGTGGAAAATAGTATGGAGAGTTCTTTAAAAACTAGAAATAGATCTGCCATATGATCCAGCAATCCCACTACTGGGTATATACCCAAAAGACACGAACATGTTGTATCAAAGATAAACCTACACTCCCATGTTTACTGCTCACAATAGCCAAAAATTCTAATCAACCCAGGTGTCTATCATCAGATGAATAAAGAATACGCAGTATATAGAGAGCATGGAAATTATCCAGCTATTTAAAAGAATGAAATTCTACCATTTTCAGCAAAGTCGACATAACCGCAGAACATCATGCTGAGAAAAATAAGCCATACACAGAAAAACAAATACTGTGTGTTCTCCCTTATATGGGAGAGCTAAAATTAAAAAAAAAAAAAAAAAAAAAGAAATGCCTGTATCAGTACTAACACAGTTCTGTAAACTGTTTTATACCTTTGTCAAGCCAATGTTTAAGAGCATTACACCATTGCTCTATGATTACCTTAAAGTTTACTGTATATGGATAAACTGGTCATATTTCTGTTCAATTATTGTTTATAGCCATTGTCTAATTCCCACTAAACTAGGGGTTTTTGGTTTTTTACATGTTAAACTATTTAGTGAAGCATTAAGCCTTTTTACTGTAATATAAATCAAAATATATTATCTCAAAAATTAAAAAAAGGGAGAGGGAGGGATGCTGGAGGGTAGGAAGGAGAAGGAGGAAGGGACTATCATTACATTCTTAGAATTGTATCTATGAGGGGCTGGCTCTGTAGCATAGAGGGTTAAGCCTCTGCCTCTGGCAGTGGCATCCCATATGGATGCCAGTTCATATTATGGCTGCTCCTCTTCTGATTCAGCTCCCTGCTGATGGCCTGGGAAAGCAGTCGAAGAGGGCCCAAGTGCTTGAGCCTCTGCACCGATGTGAGAGACCCTGAAGGAGCTCCTGGCTCCTGGCTTCAAATCAGCCCAGCTACAGCTGTTGTGGCCATTTGGGGAGTGAACCAGTGGAAGGAGGATGTTTGTCTCTAATTCTGCCTCTCAGATATATAAATAAAATATTCTTAAAAAATTCTATCTATGAGCTATATTGAATGTTTAAAGCTAATTAAAAATTAAAATTGAAAAATGCGTAATAGAAATTAAGCTGAAAAAGTACACATTTCCAAGTGTATTTTGACATAAAATGTCACCATTTTCAATGTACCAATATAAATTGGCTTAGAAGAATGCATAGATTGACAGATAAATGACAAAAGTATAGTCAAATAGTAAAAAAAATAGAATCTAGGAATGTGTCTTTTTTTTTTTTTATTTGACAGGTAGAGTCACAGAGAGTGAGACAGACAGAGAGAAAGGTCTTCCTTCCGTTGGTTCACTCTCCTAATGGCCACTACGGCCGGTGCTGCGCCGATCCGAAGCCAGGAGCCAGGTGCTTCCTCCTGGTCTCCCATGCGGGTGCAGGGGCCCAAGCACTTGGGCCACCCTCCACTGCTCTCCCAGGCCACAGCAGAGAGCTAGAAGAGGAGCAACCAGGACTAGAACCCAGTGCTCATATGGGATGCCAGCACCGCAGGTAGAGGATTAACCAAGTGAGCCATGGCGCTGCCCCATGAATGTGTCTTGACTGTAAAATTTCTTCCAAGTTTGCTGTATATGTTGAATACATTTCATTATAAAATGATGCGGTAGGGAAGTAGTTTAGATAATCGCCAATCCCTCTGTACTGCCTAAAAAGAAATAAATCGTTTAGCACCTAAGGGTATATCCTCCAGAGATACAATCATGAAAACATTCTAAATATAAACTTGTTACCCTTTAAGCCTTCTGTCCTGCTTGGAAATATATTTATTTGATAACACAACTACTAATAATGTAAATCAATTAGGTTATTAAAACTCCTGTGTTTATATACCAACCTTATAGGCTGTATTAGTAGACACATTTGGTTCTATACGAATACTCTGAGATGATAATACTGCTTTAATACGTCTCTGAAGTTTTGCTATTTTTGCCTAGAAGAAAAAGACAAAAACAAATACTAAACAGAATACTAAATATCTTATAGAAGGAGAAGTTATTTGCCAGGGTAGTTTTGTGAAACTTAGGCATTCACCTAAATAAATGAGAAATTCTTAGACAACTGTCTCTGTGTATCCATGGGGATTGGCTCCAGTGATGTTCAAAGCTCTTATGTAAAGCGGTATCATATTTGCAGAGAACCTACACATATTCTCCTGTAGACTTCAACCTCTAGATTACATTTAGTCCCTAAACAAAGTAAATGCTGTATAAAGATTCACAGGGAATAATGACAAGAAAACGTCTGTACATATTCAATAAATACAATTTCTTCCTGAGTATTTCTGATCTGTGGTTAACTGAATCCACAGATACAAGAATTCAACAATATAGAAGGTTGACTATATAAGCAAAAACATTCAAATTACATTCTATGCTGGTGTAATGATCAAGAATGGAAAAATAAGAACATCAAACTTTTAACTGGTGTGCAAGAGAACAAACAATGGTAAAAATACCAATAAGCAGGTAACCTCAGAAGAATAAAACAAGACAAAAAGATTCCAAGATAGTTTGAAACGGGTTGTATAAGCTCTAACAAAAGATATATTAGGGGCCGGTGCTGTGGCAAAGTGGGTTAATAGGCTAATCCTATAATCCGGTCGGGGCGCCGGATTCTGTCTTGGTTGCTCCTCTTCCAGTACAGCTCTCTGCTGTGGCCCGGGAGTACAGTGCAGGATGGCCCAAGTCCTTGGGCCCTGCACCCGCATGAGAGACCAGGAGAAGCTCCTGGCTTCGGAACAGCGCAGTGCACTGGCTGCAGTGGCCATTGTAAGGTGAACCAACGGCAAAAGGAAGACCTTTCTCTCTGTCTCTCTCTCTCACTGTCCATTCTACCTGTAAAAAAAAAAAAGCCCTAGCCTGTAGCACCAGCATCCCATATGGGCACTGGTTGAGTTCCAGCCGTTGTTCTTCCAATCCAGCTTCCTGCTAATGCACCTGGGAAAGCAGCAGAGGATAGCCCAAGTCCTTGGGCCCCTGAACCGATGTGGGAGTCTTGGAAGAAAATGCCTGACTCCTGGCTTCAGTTCGGCTCAGCTCCAGCCGTTGCGGCCATTTCGGGAGTGAACCAGGAGATGGAAGACCTTTTTCTCTGCTCTCCCTTTCTCTGTCACTCTGTGTTTCAAGTAAATAAATCTTAAAAAAATAAAAGATATATTAACAATGAAAAGAAATGGCCTAAGCAATAAACCTATCAATTCACGTAGAATGCCTAGTAGTTCTAAGAGCATTTCTCCTCTTCTTCATACTATTTGTTGAACTCTTTACTTAACACAGAGTTAATCATATGTGTATAAAATCAACTGAAAGTAGATCTCAGTAAAAAATAAGAGTGGGAATAAGAGAGGGAGGAGGAGTTCTTAACTGTAAAGCAGTATAGTTCTGCATACATTCCTATAGACCTACTTCTAAGGTTACAATTTAAAAACTTGCCATGGCCATGTCCACATACCTATGGGGTCTATGGTCACAAAAGGCTTCCATAGCCTTGGCAGCCCATGGCAAGAGCTCATAAATAAGAAACATAAATAAGACGTCATAAATAAGAGTGTTAATTGTTAAAGGAACAACAGAAGTCACTGTGCACTTACTCCCCATGTAGGACCTCTGTCCTTAATGAGTTCTACTATGAGAATCGACTGCAAATCTTGTTCTCAAACTGTACTCTGTATGTTTGTGTATGTGCATGGGTGCAAACTGTTGAAATCTATGCTTAACATGGAGTTGGTCCTCTGTATATAAAATCAAGCTAAAAATAAACCATAGTGAAGAAGGAGATGGGAGAGGGAGAGGGAGTTGGGATGGGAGGGTGGGTATGGGGAAAAGAACCACTATATTCCTAAAGGTGTATCCATGAAAAAGTCCATTCATTAAATAAAAACTTAAAAAAAAACTTGCCATGGGTCCCCAAATCCCATTAAGATCAGTGGTAAAAATACCATCTTAAGTGTTAAAGTGATACTAATAGATAGGATTGTTAAAGTGATCATATAAATAGGATCAAGTGCCTAGTAATAATAAAAGAATTAATAAGGAGAGAATGTTCCAACATGGGAAGCAGTACACACAGCAGAATCATAGAACAATAGGTTTTGTTTTTTGTTTTTTTTTTTTTCCAGGCAGAGTGGACAGTGAGAGAGAGAGACAGAAAGGTCTTCCTTTGCTGTTGGTTCACCCTCCAATGGCCACCGCATGGCGCTGATCCGAAGCCAGGAGCCAGGTGCTTCTCCTGGTCTCCCATGGGGTGCAGGGCCCAAGCACTTGGGCCATCCTCCACTGCACTTCCGGGCCACAGCAGAGAGCTGGACAGGAAGAGGGGCAACTGGGACAGAATCCAGCGCCCCGACCGGGACTAGAACCCGGTGTGCCAGCGCTGATAGGTGGAGGATTAGCCTATTGAGCCACAGAGCCGGCCAACAATGACTTTCTTTCAATAGCACTCTGTCCTCAGAATTAGCCCTTAAGGTATTCTGGTCTGGCTGAAAAGCCAATGAAAGCATTTCAGGCATGGAAAAGCCAAGACACTGTGGCAAAAAAAAAATATCCTAGATGAAGGCTCTCTGTGAGAGAGACCCTTGTAGAAAGAAGTGGCTATCAAAGAAGGATGTACTTTTCTCTAAAGGGGGAAGAGAACTTTCACTTTGCTTATAGCCTTGTCCAAATACTGACAGACTGTGGATTTAAAAGGCTTCCATAGCCTTGGCAGCCCATGTAAGAGCCTCGGGTGATCACTGAGGTCATATATAAGAGTGTTAATTGTTAAATTAACAACAGGAGTCATACTGTGCACTTACATTCCATGCAGGACTTCTGTCCTCAATGAGTTATGAGAATTAACTGTAAAACTTGTTCTCAGTCTGTGTCTATTAGTTACAGAGTTGGCTGTCCATGTATAAAGTTAATTGAAAATGAATCTTAACAGAGAATGGGACTGGGAATGGAGAGGGAGAGGGAGGAGGAGTTAGGGTGGGAGTGGGGGTAGGAGTGGGAGGGCGGGTATGACTGAAGAATCACTATATTCCTAAAAGTGACTTTTGAAGTTTGTATTCATTAAATAAGAGGTTTTTTAGGGAAAAAAATAAAGAAAGATAAAAAAAAAAAAAGAGCACTTCTCAAGGGCCGGTGTTGCTGAAATACAATACAATTCAACTCTGTGATGCAGTCTTACATTAATCACGTGGCTAGACATCAGATTTGGGTTGTCCATGATTGTTTTCCTCTCCCAGTAAGATATCATCCAATTCTACTTTTTAAAAGGACTCAAATGAAGTTAGAAACTTACAAAGAGCTCATTAGCTACTGCTTCATGTTTGTTCTTGCACTGCATCTTCTCAATGCGTTCATTCAATTCTTTCAGTTTGTTATCAAATTGTTTGAAATTTATATTACAGATTTCCTGTTGAATCAAATGTTTGACCTAGAGTTTGAAGATAAAAAACAAGACATCTGAGGTTTCAATTTTTAAAGTTTAATTTTCTACATTTAAAAAAATTGCTTTGCTATTTTCTTGGATTTACTGTACTAATGCTTTTATTTATACATTTGTATACTAATATTTTTAATACTATACTAATAATTTTTGCAGCACTTGAATATCAAACTCACCCAATGTTTAAATATACAGATGTGTTCCATAAAAAGGAACTCTATTTATCTGAAAACCAGAGACTGAGGAGAATAGTTGGTCTATAGTAGACATGGAACAAATTACACAAGTTTGAAACCTGACCCTGACATTAAAAAGCTACATGGCTTTTAGGAAGTCACAGCAGCTCTGGACTTCATTTTTCCTGTCTACAAATTGGTAGATACAATAAATGCTTACTGAATGAGTGATTATCAAAGGATTTATAAGAACATAATAAAGTAATAGGTAACAGTTCCATAAAATGGAAAACAGTAAATTGATATGAGGGAAATATACATGTAAAATGATCACCATTACAAATATACCAATTTTTTTTTAAAGGGGGTAGCTTTTTTATGTTAAAATTCAAAGTAGTCAGGGACAATACATGCCATTCTGACAGATTCTAGTAAATATCAAATGAAAAATTAATGCATTTCATTATCTGTTTTTCAAAGATTAGACTGGCTGGGTCCTGCACTGTGATGTACAGAGCTAAGCTGCAACACAGGATGCAGGCATCCCATATGAGTAGCTGGTTCAAGTCCCTACCAGTGAGTCCCAGCTGCTCCACTTCCAATCAAGTTCCCTGCTAATGTGCCTGGGAAAGCAGCAGAAGATGGTCCAAGTCCTGTGGTCCCCGTCACTCCTGTGGAAGACCAGGATGGTGTTCCAGACCCTGGCCATCGCAGCCATTTTAGTGAACCAGCAGATGAAAGACCTCCCTCTCCACCTCACCCTCTACCCCACTTTCTCCGTCATTCCCTCTAACTGCTTTTCAAATAAATAAATCTCTAAAACAATTTTATTTCAATGCACACTTAAAATAACAGCTCTGAGCCACATTCAGAAACATTCATTGTAGTTTTTCACTCAGTGTGTAACTTCTTCCTGTAAGCAATTTTCCTATCAGAGTAAGTAGACTCTTAATAATGACACCTGCTGTGATATAGTTAAGATATTAATAATTCTATCTTCTCCTAATGTCTTGCTTCATGGTGTTCAAAATTGCAACATACAGTTCCTATGTTAAACTCTTATGCTGATGTCACCAGAATGATCATATTCTGTAATCTTCCCTTCTTGTTTCCAATTACTCCCACTCCTTACCATTATCATCTACTTGACTTCATCTACAAGCTTCACTCACATTTCTTCCCTGCTTTTTCAACATTATTAAGACACGATTGTGGTTCTTACTTTCACAACTTTTAAATGTTTGATTAAATGAATAAATGTTCAATATACATATATTTCCTATATGTAAAAACATAGACACATACAGTTTTTATTATAGCTATTATCTGTTACCCATGTATGGTTTCTATGGATCCCTATATGCTCGCCAGGTAACTGGCAGGAGTCAGTATGTGATGCTTATACCCAGATAAATCTTGGAGAGACATAACTACATGCTTCCAAGATGGAGACACATTTGCAGTGTTTCTCAAACTTCTCTAGTTAGGAAGTATCACATGAGATACCTGTTAAAATCACAAAATCTGGGGCTGGCACTCTGGCTCAACAGTTTAAAGCTGATGCCTGTGGAGCCAGCATACTGTATGGGTACCAATTTTTGTTCTGACTGCTCCACTTCTGATCCAGCTCCCTGCTAATGTGCCTAGGAAAGCAGCAGAGGATACCCCAAGTGCTTGGGACCCTGCACCCATGTGGGAGACCTGGAAGAGGCTCCTGGGGAGTGATCCTGAAAACAGAAGATCTCTGTTTCTCCCTCTCTCTGTAACTGCCTTTCAAATCAATTAATCAAGCAATCTTAAAAAAAAAGGAAAAAGAAATCACACTTTAAACAAGCACTCCTGGTGATTCAGATACAGGCAGAGCCTTAAATTTTATTATTTTGGACTAAATGCCCACCCAGGAGTGATTCCTCTTGGTCAGAGTTGATACTTGTTCTCATTTATAGTATTCATTATACAGAAAACACACTAACCTCCAACAAATACATCATAATGTCTTTTACCAAAAGTAATATGTCCAACATTAAGGAATCTAATGCAATTCCTAACTTCAATTTGCAGATGGCAGCCACGTTGGCTTAAAGTTTGTAGAAAGTATAAATCTGCCAAAGCTTTCTTAAACTGTAAATTTATTTTTTTTATTTGAAAGGCAGAGGAAGAGGGAGAGGGAGAGGGAGGATGAATTCATGTACCAGCCAGGGCTGTGCCAGATCTTCACTGCCGATCTCCCATGAGCAGCAGGAATGTAAGTACTTGAGCCATCACTGCCTTCCAGGGTGTGCATTAGCAGGAAACTGGACTTGAAGCAGAAGTGGGACTTGATATTAGGTACTCTGATATGGGATGCAAGCGTTCCAAGTGGCAGCTTAACTGGCTGCAACATAACATCCAGCCCCCAACTTTCTATGATGGTGAGAAAAGTGAACAGCTTGTACATTACATGACAAAATTCTTGCACTTTCTAATTTAACTGCAACCAATTTGGCCAGTTTTGAGGTTATGATCAGAAATAACAGTGCTGGGACTGTCAGTAGAGAACAACATCAAAACAGGGGCCCCACATCAACAAAATACAAACATGATAAACACACAGACATGCTTTAGAGGCAGTTGTTTGAACAGGAATTACAATATGTTAGGGAAAGCTAGCTATTTAGAGATAGGAATAAAGAATTAGCTACTACCCAAGTTGTGTTTGGATAATGTGCAAGAAACTTCTGAGGGTAGGTAACACATAAACAATATTCCCTAAATTCAGTACAAAGAACTATTTTCTTTGAGTCAACTTGGGTCATATATTTTAGGAGGTAGACAGCAACAAGGAATGTATTGATTTTTCTATACCAGTGAAATCAAGACACGCAAAGACTAAATGCTGTCCTGCTATGTCTGTATCATAACTTATTTCTGAATGCAGCCACTAATCACTGGGAATAAGACATGGCTAGAATCTCTTTATCTTTTTCTTGGATAACAAAATCATTAGGCTTCATCCATAGTTCTACTATTCCATCCCTGCCAGAAATAGAGCAATTACATATGTTTTTCATTAGTATCTCCTCTGGCCTGTATGGGAGAAAAAGGCAGGCAGAAAGAGAAAAACTAATGACTCACCTTTTAAGGTGGATCTGCATGAGTCTTTCAAAAAGATTTCCCTTTATTAGGTGAATACATATTCACAGGTTATATAACAATATAACTGTAACAGTCTGTTTTAGAAAACAGTAGTATTGGGACTGGTGTTGTGGCACAACAGATTAACCCTAACCTTCTACCTGCAATGCCAGCATTCTATATAAGCACCAGTTCAAGTCCCAGCTGCTCTACTTCCCATCCAGCTTCCACTGATACACCTGGAAAAGCATCAGATGACCCAAGGATTTGGACTTGTACCACCCAGGTGTGAAACCAGAATGAAGTTCCTGGCTCTGGCCTGGCCCAGCCATCTGGGGAGTGAACCAGCAGAAGGATGCTTGCTCTCTGTACCTCTAACTCTGCCTTTCAAATAAATAATTAAAAGAAAAAAAAGAAAACAGTAGGGCTTTTGTTTCTGAAACAGCTTGCAGAATTATTTGGATAGGGAAATTTTGGTCCATTACAGCTGAGAGACATTCATCTATCAAGTAATGACTTTTAGTGGTGCCAGTCAAATAGTAATGAAATAGCAAAACACAATCATCAAAACAGGTCCTCATTAGAGTCAATATATTAAAATTGAAGCTCATTACACTTCTATTCACAGATGATCAGACATTAATGGAGACTGTAGTATCATCATATAGAATGGGGAAAAATGAAAGAAGTGTGTTTAATGATGCTCTAAAGCAAAATATCTGATAATGCAGTATATCCATGTAAATGTGGATATTAGGACAATTAAACCTGAATGCAATAGGATTTTGCAATGGACTTCTGTGTTATTTTGAGTCTATGAAGGAGTGATTAATTGTGATGAGGTCTACAAGCAGCTATAGCTGCAGTTCAAAGACCAATACAAAGACTGGACTGTTCAGCAAAGCTGCAGGTCACTTAGTGCATGACTCACACAGAGATCTGAGTGTAGAACTGACTGAAGACATTCTCTTAATACAACAGGACTGTACCTACAGATCATTCTCAGTTACTATGCCCAAGATGATTTTCTAGAAATCAGGGCTGTTTTGGATATTTAAAAAAAATTATCTGTCCCTAATTGCTCTGTCTGCTAATTCAGTTTTCAAAAACCTATTTTCTATTAACAAAGTCATCTGTACTATGTCATTGTGGAGATCAGTTAATTTAACATTTGTACTCACCAAAAGTAAAAGTTTCTGAAGCAAATGTTTAAAGTCTCAATTTTTACCTTTTCCAGCAATGCTGTTTGCCTTTCTGGGGTTACACGACTATTTTCATTAATTTGCTCTGAAGTTTTCATGCGCTTAGCATTTTCTTTGTTTTCTGAAAACATCCTCTTCTTCTGATTTTGGCCTTAGAGAGATGCAAAATTAGAGAAGGAAGAACTACCTAATTTAGGAACCCTCTAAGCAAATGGAAAAACCAAACTACTCCTTATATGCTAGGTAGGGTTCTGGTCTCAGATACATTCTCCTTTAACTTTATTAAATATATCTTTACCAATGAAAACTGAATAAATTATAACATTTAATCATTTACAATAAGTAAATCATTCTGCTTACTTTTATGTGAGTACAGTTACTTAGTCCTACATATTCCTAATAGGTTATCCAATTATTACTTTTAAGTAATTTTAAATACATCTTGTTAAATGATGATCATTCTGTAGCTGAGACAAAAACAAAAAAAAACCTCAAGTTTCTTCTTCTGTTTAAATAACCAACATATCCTTTTGATATTTTAATGACTTTACAACTCTAGAATTTCATTTATTATTTAGTGTTTATCTCTCTCTCCACACACACACACACACACACACACACAAACACAAACACTATGTCATTTTATACTTGACATATGATTTACATACAGGTCAGCTCTACAGAATGAAGTGTGTTCAACAATTTTAAAAACCCACTCTTTCAACTAGCCTTTTAAATCTAATAAAACTTTAAAATAAGAGATATAGATAAAATGAATACATGATTGCCATAAACCACCTTTTGATTTTTTTGCACAATCAAGAGAAAGTGACTAGTTATTTGTCAGATTTCCTTTTTGATATGGTGGATACTGTTAAAGTGAATCAAGTTTTGCCTAAAGCAGCCTTTGTATATATTTTAAGTCTGGCCTAAAGGATTCTCTATATAGAGTGAACTGTAAACAAACTTGATGCATACAGACTGCAACTGAGCCTCAGCCAATCCCAAATGGCCAGCTCTTCAAGACATGATCTGAGTTATCAGGCAGTTATCTGAGTTCAAGGCAGATCTGAGTTATCAGGCTGTCTCTGCACTTCACTTCCCCTCTCTAAGTTTCACTTCCTTTCCTCTATTAACAAAAATTGAATCATTTTGGTCCAAACTCCTGCCCAATTCCAAGAACTATAAATAAAGCCAATTAAGATCTGCAAAACTAAATTCGTTTTAATTTTTCTCTTTTAACAATACTTTAGCTCTCCCCATCAAGAATGACTCAGAAGGGCTGGCGTTGTGGCACAGTGGGCTAAGCCACCACCTGTAGTACCAGCATATCCTATAGGTGCCAGTGCATTTCCCTTATGTTCCACTTCTGATCCAGCTCCCTGCTAATATGCTGGGAAAGCAGAGGATGATGACCAAGTACTGCCACCCACGTAAGAGACACTGATGGAATTCTAGCTTCCAGCTTCAGTCTGGCTCAGCTCTAGCTACTGCAGCCATTTGGGGAGTGAACCAGCAGATGAAAGATCTCTTCTTTATAACTCTGCCTTGCAAATAAATAAATCTTTTTTAAAAAATGGTTTAAAACAAGATACTCTAAAAATAATTAGTCATCATTTACTGTTTCCTTGCCTACACTCATATGTACTCTGTCTGTATATGAGGCTTTAAAATCCCTCAAAGGAAAGTGACTAGATTAATTTCTCTAAAAGATGCATCAACATACACTTACTGTTATTTCCATCAGTGTCAAGTGATGATTGCCATTCTGATTCGGTACTTTCACAATTTGAAATGCTGGAATAACAGTTTTTATTGTATTCTTCACTTTTCAAAACTTCAGCAGCACAGTTGCTGGAACTGACTGAACTCAAGTTAGGTGTTTTTTCAACAGGCACAAAATCTGAATCTGAACTTAAAATGTCATTTTGCCTTTTATGAAGTGACACTGATTTGGAGCTTGTTTTTGAAAGGGATATCATGTTGTCGATTCTCTTATCATCCAAGGTATTCATTTCTGTAGCCTTTGGCATTTGAAGTATACTACTCAATAGAGAGGGTGGCCACCAAATGGATTTCAGATGAGAATTCTTGTTATGTTCAAAAAAGGAACTTGTTACACTTGTATGATATTCAAAATGGCTTTCAGAAGTATCCCATGAATCTTTTGCTTTTTGTATACAGAGTTTGCTGGGAGAATCTATTGCTTTTCTTGGCTTTTGGTTAGGACATGTAACATGTTCATTAACACATTCCAATCTGGTTTCTGAATCAACATTTTCTTCAACTGGTTTTATTAAATTCTGAGGGATTATTGTGTTTTTTTCTGAGGACACTGTATTTTTGTTAGAGTCCAATGAGAAACCAACATTTTGAGAGAGTCTAGATGTGCTTATTATGAAACCAGTACTTAAATTCAGATTACCAGTTGGAACATTACTCCCAGTTGATGCTGTTTTCAATGCTTCAACATTCTTTGTCTTATTCAGGATCTCTACTTGCTTCCGGCAACTTGTGGGCATTGTTTTTTTGGCTTTTAATATCTTCGGTTTACTTTTATCTAGATTTGCCATCTTTCATAACCTAAAATTTAAAATATCATAATTAAATGCTTTTCTCGAATGTTATTTCCTTAACGATATTTAAATAATGTTAAGACTGTGGATCTCAAAATTTAGATAATTACTCCTATTAGAAATCACACTTTTGTCACTGAGAAACACGCTTTTTTTCTAGAAATCTAAGCTATATAAACTCAAATTTTATATTATGAGTAAGCGTCTATTTAAAACTAGTCCTGATAATTTATCTGATCATTTTTTGTTATATCACATGAGCAATAAAACATTCACTGTTGATGTGATTATCCAAGATGGCCATCATTTAGATAACCTAAAGATTAGGTGGCATCTCTTCATAAAAATAAAAAACAATGCTTTGTATAGAACATTACATTTTCTATATTTATTAGCACCCTTTAAGCTTTCCTAATGTTCAAATTTCCACAATAATCAGAGGTACAGTAATCCTCATACAAGCATTAAGATATGTAACATAAAAATGGAAGTTCAAATTTAACTTGGCTTACATAATATTTTTCATAATTTTAGTAAAAATCAGATATATCGCAAAGTAATTCATTGTTGATCCCTCAGTATTCACATCATCTTTGATCAGAAATGTGGGTTAGTACATGGTTTAAAAGAGAGAAGTACTGCCAGATTACAAAGGCATAATAAAAGCAAGCAAAATGAATTATTCTATATTGAGGCACAATATACTAGTTATCTAACAAATAGACTAATTATCTAAACAAACCCAAAGTCAGGAACAAGCAGCAGGCATTTAGCCTAGCAATGAAGAGGCTATTTAAGGCATCCAAGTTCCAAAGTGGTTCACCTGGGTTTAATACTCAGCTCTGGCTCGTAACTCCAGGGGCTGAATGCAAACCATGGGAGGCAATAGTGATGGCTCAAGTAACTGGATCCCTGGCACCAATGTAGGAAACCTGAGTGGAATTCCCAGCTCCCAGCTTCAGTCTCAGACCAGTCCAAGCCATTTGGGCCTTTGGGGAGTTGTCTGTCTCTCAAATGAATAAATTTTTGAAAGTCAAAGAATCTAGGGCTTAAGGCACAAATAACTCAGCCAAAAGTGCAAGAATAACTTTTTCATTTATCATTATCTAGTTTCTTACTTGAAGCTTTCTTTTACTATATTATTTTAATCGAAAATATTATTTGATAAGGTTTTTTTTTTTTTTTTTTTTTTTTTTTTTTTTTGACAGGCAGAGTGGACAGTGAGAGAGAGAGACAGAGAGAGAAAGGTCTTCCTTTGCCGCTGGTTCACCCTCCAATGGCCGCCGCTGCAGCCGGCGCACCGCGCTGATCCTGGCAGGAGCCAGGATCCAGGTGCTTTTCCTGGTCTCCCATGGGGTGCAGGGCCCAAGCACCTGGGCCATCCTCCACTGCACTCCCTGGCCATAGCAGAGAGCTGGCCTGGAAGAGGGGCAACCGGGACAGAATCCGGCGCCCCAACCGGGACTAGAACCCGGTGTGCCGGCGCCGCAAGGTGGAGGATTAGCCTATTGAGCCACGGCGCCGGCTTATTTGATAAGGTTTTATGAGGTTTGATAAGGTTTTATGAGGCCTTAGGTTGAGGTAAATATTTAAAACAAGAAAATAAGTTATGTATACACAGTGTAAGTTTTAAAAACCTGACATGTACTCTTATAAACATCATACAATCCATTAAGAGCCTGATAAACCTATAGATTATTGTTTTATAGGTAGGATTGCACATTATTTGACTGATTCTTTATGAATACAATTTTTTCATTATTTCCCATAGAGAAAAGAGACAACTAAGTCTTCCCTTCAGTGTGAAGGATACTTTTTGCTTTAAAAAAAAAGTTATTGGAATGCATAAAACAAGCAGCTTTTTCTAAGAGGTAATTCTGTTGATACTGCAATATTTTGTGCCCTATAAACAACAAAAAATTTAATTACAAAGACAAAATGTCTAGCAAAAAAGAAAATCAACATATGGTGAACTGATAATTGAATGTGCTGTGTTACTGAATATTTCTCACAGAAGTTCAGTTTTGACTAGAAACTCATGAGAACTAAGCCTTATACTTGAAATTGCAAACATCAGATGATTGGAAATTTTTCCTACTACTTCCTAGCTTCATAAATTTCAAATGTTGGCATCTCTACTATTCATACATTTCAGGTGCCAGGCACCAAATATCACATTTACCTTACAATTATGCCAAAAGGCTATAATTACCTATTCTCAGAAGTGAACCATAAACATAACCTGTTAAACCCACATTAAGGATAAGCCCAATCACAAAATTCTTAAGCCACTCTATTTTCAGGTAACACACAGGTTAAGGAAAAAATCAAGGTGAAAAGAATCATAAATCTTAAGTTACTAGGTAAAATATTTTATTTTTGTAAATCTTACAAAAATATCCAACCATGTGAACACATTGCTATGATCCTTCTCAAGGCCTTTTGGAAATGGCCTAAATGTAAGGCCCAAAATTTCAGTTTTCGGTTAAAATTTCTGTATTTGATGCATACAAAATACATGTAATATGTATGTTATGGATTTAATGTGGTTTATCCCCTCTAAAACTCATGTTAAAATTTAATCCTCATTATGGGATATTAAGAAGTGGAACCAGGTAGGACCTTTAAGAGGTAATTAGGGGCCAGCGCTGCGGCTCACTAGGCTAATCCTCCGCCTTGCGGCGCCGGCACACCGGGTTCTAGTCCCAGTCAGGGCACCGGATTCTGTCCCGGTTGCCCCTCTTCCAGGCCAGCTCTCTGCTGTGGCCAGGGAGTGCAGTGGAGCATGGCCCAAGTGCTTGGGCCCTGCACCCCATGGGAGACCAGGAGAAGCATCTGGCTCCTGCCTTCGAATCAGCGCGGTGCGCCGGCCACAGCGCACCGGCCGCAGCGCACAGGCCACGGCGGCCATTGGAGAGTGAACCAACAGCAAAGGAAGACTTTTGTCCCTCTCTCTCACTGTCCACTCTGCCTGTCAAAAAAAAAAAAAAAAAAAAGAGGTAATTAGGGTTCAACCTTCAAAAATGAGTAATCCATTTATTCAATAAATGTTTTAATGGGCTACCTCCAGAGTGGGTCTGCTATAAAAGCCACTACTAGGTCTCTCAGAAGCCCCTTATCTCCTACCAAATGATAACCTGCACTACATCAGTACACTGCCAAAAATAAGGCCATCCATCACAAGATGCAGCCCCTTGCACCAAAACCTCTTTTCTTTATAACTTATTTACTTGCTATAACTGGAGGACGGGTAAGGTGGGAAGAATCACTATGTTCCTAAAGTTGTTTTTTTGCAACGCATGAACCTTGTGTACCTTAAATAAAAGCTTTCTGGGGAAAAAAATTTTTTTCTTACTTAGTCTGTGGTATTGTGTTATCAGCAACAGAAAATGGACTAAGATATACAGATTTTAAAAATGTAGTCTTTTGAATTCCAGTATCTGTTTGTTTTATGTATATTTATAAACCAATTCTAAAATTCATATGGAAATTCAAGGGACAAAGTAATTAAGATAGTCTTGAACTACAAAATAAGAAGACCTAAAATATTAGATATCACTTTTAAATAGGTGGTAGTAATAGAGGGAGTGGTACCAATGAAACAATACAGGAATCCAAAAACAGCTTCACACATAGTTACCTGCCTCCGACAAAGGCGATATTGTTGTAAAATGGGAGAAAGGACAGTCCTGAATTAAGTAAACTGAATAAACATACTTTAATCTTTTACCACACACTGTATCTCAAAGTCAACTCAAAAATAATAAAGAACAAGAACAAAATCAACTCCAAAAGCATGGCATATTTAAATGTGAACTGTAAAACGGGTTTTAGAAGAAAACCGGAGCACATTTTCATGCCTCTGCAGTGCTCAGATCCTTGTAAAAAGCTCTAAGGCTCACACACGTGTGCACAGACAAAACAAACATTTAAACAGGCACTTCACAAAAGAAATAAAAATGATGAATAGCAGATGAATCGGTACCCCATTTATTAAATAAAAGCATGTGAGATTCTTCTATGTATTACCCAGCAGAATAACTAAAAATAAAAATACTAATGAGGCTTGTGAAGATGTGGAGAAACTGGTGCTTTCATACAATACTGGTGGTAGCACAAATCTAGAACTGAATATATGTGCTCTGTAACTTGGCTCTGTCACTGCTAGATAATAATGTCTGCAAATGTATCTACCTGGTCAAAGTGCAAAAATGTTCTTTAGTAACACTACAATATCCAGAAAGTAGAAAGCTGTCACGTACCAGTCAGTAGCACAACAGAGTAATAAATTAAGTATATTAGAAGCTGGTGTTGTGATGCAATAAGTTAAGCTGCCGCCTCTAACAAGGGTGAGCATCAGTTCAAATCCTGGCTGCTCTACTTTCAATCCAGCTCCCAGCTCTGATGCCTAGGAAAGCATCAGAAGATGGCCAAATACTTATGCTCCTGACACTCACACGAGAGACTGTGTTGTCAGCCTGGCCCAGCTTCGGTCACTGCAGTCATTTGGGGAGTGAAGCAGCAAATGGAAGATCAATCTTTCCCTCTCTCTTTTCTCTCTCTCTCTTGCTTTGCCTTTCAAATCAAATAAATAAATAAAAGAATAAGGAAGACACTAAGAACCCTCCAAAGGAACTTTACCGTACCTCAATAGTAGAAGGTGAAGATGAAAACAGGGTAGACACCAGAAATGCAGCACTGAAAATTGATCATCAGATTACTTAGAAGCAACCAGAGCCAATTCATGAACTAAAATGAAAAATTTTCTCATGATGTTGAAATAGTAAAAGAAAAATCAGAATGAAATTCTATAAACAAAAAACTAAATAGTTCAAATAAAAAATGCAGTGAAAAGTATTAACAACAGAGTAGGGGAGACAGGAGAGAATATCAAAACTAGAAGACAAAGTCCTAAAAATTTTACAGTCAGACCAAAAAATAGAATAAATTAGAAAACTAAAAAACACTGTTGGAGATCTACAAGATACAATCTAATGACCTAATATA